AATCAAGCATTGTTAGAAAAGAAACGTTGGATTATACAAAGCAAATGTACAGGCAGCCTCTAAGTAAGTTTAGCTACCATTATGAACAGCTAAAAGTTTATTTACATACATCATGTAATATTCTTTTGAATTACATGGAAACATTAAAAAATGGAAATAAAATGTTGCATTGAAAGGCTTACAGATACATGGAGACATAAGAATCATTTGTGATTCAACCTGTAAGAAATAATTGTAATTGGCTGGTGATGTGTGACCTGGAAACCTTTGTTAGCTGAGGAAATGACAAAGCTCGGAGGAAAATGCAGTATTTGAAATGTATTTCCATCTCTATTGTGAAATATGTCGTGCTGTATTCAAAGTTAAATATACGAAAAAGTTGAACAAAGATTTATGTTTGTTTAACAGAATTCATCCCACATTTTTTTGTGGGAATCGTCAAAATAAAAAAAAACCTTATTCAACATGCTAAAATTATGGTCTAAAGACCAGCCTTAATCTTACTGATTAATTAAATTAATTAAATCTTACTGATTTCTGCTCAAAGACATATCATCAAAATGACAATTCTTTAATCTATTCTGAGGTCTGTTCACAGAAATGCTCATTTCTAAGGGAGCAAATTCATATCGTGTCTCAAAAACTACTAATTAACTACATAAGAAATAAAAAATAAATAAATAAAACAGCTGCACATTAAAAACGATGACATTAAAAACATTTTCAGATATAATAAATTTGAAATGTGGAATTACAATGTGTCAAATATTTACTGATAAATTACATTTAAATAAAAACAAGACAATTTTTTTTTTAAGAAAAAAGGCACCAAAGTGGCCTTATTGTAAATGGCAATGGGAAAAAAACGACTAGAAAATAGTCATTGTGTTTCAATAACTGAACTTTTTGTGATCAGTTTACAAAACAGTGGTTTGTGTTGAATGAGCTCAGAGTGTAAGAGGTAGAACAGAATTTAGTAAACCTTCATACATGTGACCAAAAATACAAAGAATCTACAATAAAGTTGCAAGTGATCAAATTAAAATCTTGTTTCAGTTAAAATATATAAACACACTGGTGTGTCTGGTGTGTGAAGATACATTTTGTGTATTGTGCAAGTTTTCCCTATGTTATACACAAAAAATGTCCATGTTATTGACATTGAGACGCACATCTGTGTATATATATATATACAAAGTAGTATATATATATATATATATATATATATATATATATATATATATATAT